GTTTATCCGCTCCTCGGCAACCAACGAGACGAACGTCTTCACTTCGTCCACTGACCACGATTCAGCCATTTCTTTTTTATGGAAGTTTTCTTTCTTTCTTTTTTCTTCAAGCTAGTCAAGCAAGTAGTTTTAAAACAGGTGCTACAGTGGTGGCTGTTGTCTACTGGCTATTTAAATCTAGTGGGTTTAGTGTCTCGTGTCGCAAATACAATGACGCTGATAGTGACGATTCTGTCTGTCTGACCAATCAGTGATCTGTAGTGTTTTCACGTCACATTTTAGTATCGGTACAGTATGCTTGGAACCTCAACAGACCAGGTACCATTTAAAGCGAGCCGAAGCGAGCCGTACCGTACCGTACCATGCAGTGGAAATGCGCCATAAGTGAGCCGTACCGAACCGAGCCGTACTGTACCATGCAGTGGAAAAGCGCCAAAGCGTGCCGTACCGAACCGAACCGTACCGTTCCATGCAGTGGAAAAGCGCCAATAGACTAAACCATTCATCAGAAAACACACACAAATACATACGTACTGTGTACAGTACACATGTGTATATATATATATATATATATATATATATACACTCACCGGCCACTTTATTAGGTACCCCATGCTAGTAACGGGTTGGACCCCCTTTTGCCTTCAGAACTGCCTCAATTCTTCGTGGCATAGATTCAACAAGGTGCTGGAAGCATTCCTCAGGGAGTTTGGTCCATATTGACATGATGGCATCACACAGTTGCCGCAGATTTGTCGGCTGCACATCCATGATGCGAATCTCCCGTTCCACCACATCCCAAAGATGCTCTATTGGGTTGAGATCTGGTGACTGTGGAGGCCATTTTAGTACAGTGAACTCATTGTCATGTTCAAGAAACCAATTTGAAATGATTAGAGCTTTGTGACATGGTGGAAGTAGCCATCAGAGGATGGGTACATGGTGGCCATAAAGGGATGGACATGGTCAGAAACAATGCTCAGGTAGGCCGTGGCATTTAAACGATGCCCAATTGGCACTAAGGGGCCTAAAGTGTGCCAGGAAAACATCCCCCACACCATTACACCACCACCACCAGCCTGCACAGTGGTAACAAGACATGATGGTTCCATGTTCTCATTCTGTTTACGCCAAATTCTGACTCTAACATCTGAATGTCTCAACAGAAATCGAGACTCATCAGACCAGGCAACATTTTTCCAGTCTTCAACTGTTCAATTTTGGTGAGCTCTTGCAAATTGTAGCCTCTTTTTCCTATTTGTAGTGGAGATGAGTGGTACCCGGTGGAGTCTTCTGCTGTTGTAGCCCATCCGCCTCAAGGTTGTGCGTGTTGTGGCTTCACAAATGCTTTGCTGCATACCTCGGTTGTAACGAGTGGTTATTTCAGTCACTGTTGCCCTTCTATCAGCTCGAACCAGTCTGGCCATTCTCCTCTGACCTCTGGCATCAACAAGGCATTTCCGCCCACAGAACTGCCGCTCACTGGATGTTTTTTCTTTTTCGGACCATTCTCTGTAAACCCTAGAGATGGTTGTGCGTGAAAATCCCAGTAGATTAGCAGTTTCTGAAATACTCAGACCAGCCCTTCTGGCACCAACAATCATGCCACGTTCAAAGTCACTCAAATCAACTTTCTTCCCCATACTGATGCTTGGTTTGAACTGCAGGAGATTGTCTTGACCATGTCTACATGCCTAAATGCACTGAGTTGCCGCCATGTGATTGGCTGCTTAGAAATTAAGTGTTAACGAGCAGTTGGACAGGTGTACCTAATAAAGTGGCCGGTGAGTGTATATATATATGTGCATGCATGTATGTGTATATATATATATATATATATATATATATGAATGCATGTGTATTTATGTATATGTATTACACACACACATTTTGACATATGTATATACACACATAACCCTAACCCATTTAAATAAATGAATTGTGTGTGTGTGTGTGTGTATAATATTATATATATATATATATATATATATATAATATTATATATATATATAAAATATTATTATTAATAATATTATATACATCAGGTTACCGTAAGTTAGCTAACGTTAGTGAAGTGTTGGTCACGTAAGCTATAGCTGCAATGAACCTATTATCTTCCAATAAACATTAACTAAAACTGGCTACATAAAATATAACTAGATTCACGACAGGTCGGCTAATGTGTGTAAAAGTAAAAAAAATACAGTAATTTCATTAATTTACCAGCGAGCGTACTTCGGAAGCACTGAAAATGAATGGGGTTCAATGCTGGAACTATCAGTGTTTGGAACTATTGGCTGCTCCACGACACAAATGCCTTGTTGATGCTAGAGGTCAGAGGAGAATGGGCCGACTGATTCAAGCTGATAGAAGAGCAACTTTGACTGAAATAACCACTCGTTACAACCGAGGTATGTAGCAAAGCATTTGTGAAGCCACAACACGCACAACCTTGAGGCGGATGGGCTACAACAGCAGAAGACCCCACCGGGTACCACTCATCTCCACTACAAATAGGAAAAAGAGGCTACAATTTGCAAGAGCTCACCAAAATTGGACAGTTGAAGACTGGAAAAATGTTGCCTGGTCTGATGAGTCTCGATTTCTGTTGAGACATTCAGATGGTAGAGTCAGAATTTGGCGTTGTCACGGTGTGGGTCTTGTCTGTCACGTGATTCCCTGTTTGTCATGTGATCCTGCCATGTGTCTTGTCATTTTGTTATTTGTTTGCTTATTGTCCACAGGTGTTCCTGGTCTTGTTGATTAGTCTCCCCAGGTGTCTCGGATTAACCACGCCCCCTTGTTATCTTGTTTAGCTTGTGTATTTATACCTCTGTGTTTCAGTTGTGGTTTGTCGGTCGTTGTTGTTGCTTGTAGTGTTCTCCATGTTCCTGTCCTGAGTTCCGTGTTCCTTTGTTTCACCTGTTTACTTCATTAATTTAGCTGCATTGGGATTCTCTCTCTGCTTCGTCCTTGCCGCATCATTACAGGCGTAAACAGAATGAGAACATGGATCCATCATGCCTTGTTACCACTGTGCAGGCTGGTGGTGGTGGTGTAATGGTGTGGGGGATGTTTTCTTGGCACACTTTAGGCCCCTTAGTGCCAATTGGGCATCGTTTACATGCCATGGCCTACCTGAGTATTGTTTCTGACCATGTCCATCCCTTTATGGCCACCATGTACCCATCCTCTGATGGCTACTTCCAGCAGGATAATGCACCATGTAGCAAAGCTCGAAACATTTCAAATTGGTTTCTTGAACATGACAATGAGTTCACTGTACTAAAATGGCCCCCACAGTCACCAGATCTCAACCCAATAGAGCATCTTTGGGATGTGGTGGAACGGGAGCTTCGTGCCCTGGATGTGCATCCCACAAATCTCCATCAACAGCAAGATGCTATCCTATCAATATGGATAAAAAAATACACAACTGGTGTGCACATCCCAAACACCCAGATTGGGCGCAGGTGCAGGACAACTGAGTAATACAAATGAAAAAAAGAAGTGTGAAGTCCGCACACTGAAAAAGCTGCTCCAAAGAATTTATTAGCAAGGCAACGTTTCGACCATCAGGTCTTCATCATTGTGCCTGATGAAGACCTGATGGTCGAAACGTTGCCTTGCTAATAAATTCTTTGGAGCAGCTTTTTCAGTGTGCGGACTTCACACTTCTTTTTTTCATCCTATCAATATGGGCCAACATTTCTAAAGAATGCTTTCAGCACCTTGTTGAATCAATGCCACGTAGAATTAAGGCAGTTCTGAAGGCGAAAGGGGGTCAAACACAGTATTAGTATGGTGTTCCTAATAATCCTTTAGGTGAGTGTATATAAGACCCGCTTTGGCTGGTTATATTTTCATGTACATTTAAACCTGCTTTGGCCGGTTGTATTGCCATGTACTATTTACCCCGACGGTGTCTGGGTTTATTAGTGTGGTATGGTGGTGGTTACTGACTCAGGTATATTATGCATGTATACGTGTAGTATTACGGCTTGTTCTGTTTGCTCAGGGCTCTGAGTTGCAGTGGCAACCAGTTATTCAGTGCGGCGTTTTGCATAGTGTTGCCATTGCGTATAGCTATGCAATACGAAGTGACCGTTCGAAAGGGAACTACTTGTTTACTCACGTAACCTCAGTTCCCTGAGTTAGGGAACGAAGTATTGCGTAGCCGGCCGCACTGCATTAAACTGGCTAGTTGTCGCTTCAGTCGTATAAACCTGCTATAATGGCGAATTCAGGGACTAATATAGGCTGAGGCCACGCCCCTTGACGGGCTCTGACGTGTAATGACGTAGAGTGGTCTCATTGGTCGCCCGCGCCATTGGATGTGCAGTTGCTGCAGCACAGCCTATGAGCGAGCCAAGCGATCTGTGGGCTAGCTGTGCAGCTGCAAATGCGTTTTACATAAAGGTTTCAGTAAATCAGGAAAAAGGAGTTTTCCCACTGCATATAGCTACGCAATACTTCGTTCCCTAACTCGGGGAACTGAGGTTACGTAAGTAACCAAGTAGTTTTGCCGGCCCTCGTGAGATCGCGGCCAGCGCTGTTTGCGCTGTAACACCAACACCAGCTTTGAAGAGGCGTTTCCCTGAACTACAAATAGGAAAAAGAGGCTACAATTTGCAAGAGACAGAACAGCAGACTCGTTTTCTTCTTTGAAGTTGAACACTGTCAGAAGATTGTAGAGCAGGAACAGTAGCGAAGCGAAAGACAATATGCGACGCACCTGCTGCTCGTTATATGCTCGCGTTGCAAGCAGAGCAGCTGATGCAATTATCGCATGCCAATATGCATTGGCTCGTTTTAATACTCTCGAAGTAGATTGGTTTCTCAAGGCGATCCCAATTACGTTGTCACGTCAACGTTACGTCGAACGTGAGCGACTGAAAGGGAACTATGAATACTAGATGCAGTTTTATACTAACTAAATTTTAAATGTAATACTCAATTTTAACTCTCAAATTTTAACATTTTTTGTGTCCTATCATCAGGCGAGGTACAGGACTCTTTGGACATTGGTCTGACTGAGGTTCCTCCCATAAGGAAGCCCACCAAAGACAGTCCAAGGAAGGAGAGTGCTGTCCTTCAACACCGCCAGCAGCTGAAGACCAAGATGAAGTACCACAAAGTAGAGGACCCTAAAGCGCCGCATGCCAAACAGGTAGAGGATCAAAAACAAATACAACAAAACCAATAAAAAATGTTTTATCTTCTCCTAGAGGTTGTCTCAATGGTACTGTATCTTTGATCTTGTGGAATTGCAGAGAGAAGTTTATAAAATATATTTTCTCAGAGTGGGATACTCATTTAATGCATTCTAATGTTGTGAGCTGTAGGTAAAGTCTAAATCTGCCATAGCTGTTCCAAACCCGGACTAAACACGTTCCAATTGACTTATGCTTAATATTTGCCTGTGGAGCTTGTTTATCTTGGCTGAGGGCCTTGACCACAATACAGTGACTGAATCTGAGCAATCTGCAGACTTCAAATGCACAGTAACAAGTGCAAATAACTTTTTTCAGGCTCAGTACACACACACAGATGCTTTGCAGGTTGTATTTTCAGGTCTTGTTACCTTGAATAAACTTAAAACATCCACAAATGACACAAAAGCATTAGTAAGTTGAAGTGATTTTAATGATGTGTATGCATTACAGATTTTATTTAGAGAATATCTAAAATGTACTTTCTTCCACGTCATTAAATCATTGGCTGGAAAATGTAGTTCTGGGGTCAATTTGATATTAATGTTAAATATGACTGTAGAAACATAGCAACCTGACTAAGGTTCTATCCATTGAATTTTCCCTGAGATATTTTCCACCTCAGCTGTGATGATATAGTGTGCATTATCTTGGCCTAATACATAACTTATAGTCATTGATAACACAAGTGTTGAAAATCACACTTTATGAGTACTGGTATCATTCGAACATATCTTCTAAATATTTTAAACAATTCAAGACACAATGGTGTTATTGTACTTCGATTGAAGACAAAAATTCAAACACATGTATTTACATATTTTAGAGTCCGTGTCAGCAGGAGCTGGACCAGGTGCTGGAAAGAATCTCAAAAATACCCTTCAGAGATAACAGGGGTCCCCTGGAGGACCTCTATTCCCTGCACATACCCAACTGTGACAAAAGGGGGCAGTACAACCTGAAACAGGTATTTATTTTCCAGCAGCATCAAGTTCAGAGCAACACACATTTTTGTAGATCTGGGTATTTGACATGAAATAATAAATGTGAATTGCTGTAATCCAACTAAACCTATTTTAATAAGCATTGTGGTAATACTTTGATAATTATTGTGCATGCAGGCAGCTTTTAAAGCCCGTTATTAATTGAGTGATTAAATGGAATATTTGTACCCCTTTAAAATGTATTTCACATGCAGGATTTGCATTTGCCATAACCTTGTGTAGCCAGAGATAAAAAAATTGAAGATTAAAAAAAATCCAAATTTAAAGAAATGTTACTTTTACATTCATATAAATTCGGGAGAAGCTTGTTTATCTAATCTTGTCAACCAAGCACAACTTACATCACTCCACTGGCAGTTTATCTGGCATCCCTCTTCCTCCCCATCTCCACTAACTTCATAATCTTCAGGCTTCATTCAGCCCCACCTTAACAGATGGTGTGCCAATCCCCCCCCCCCCCCCCCCCCCCCCCCCCCCTTATCAAGCTCTAAAATTATATGATTGTTGAAGTTAATTAACTGTCCTCATTCACTTCCATTGTAAGTGCTTATTAAAAGAAAAGACATTAAAATGTGTTTGTATTAATCAACATTTTGCCACAAATGCTGTCAATTGAGCTTAAAGTCTCTGGTTAATTTTTGTTCTAAAAACGTATTTGGACTCTTTCATGTGTTTCAGTGTAAGATGTCAGTGAATGGGCATCGTGGTGAGTGCTGGTGTGTGAATCCACACACAGGAAGACCCATTCCCACCTCTCCACTGATAAGGGGGGATCCCAACTGCAGCCAGTACCTTGATGGCCTAGAGATGGATCCCTCTGTGGACCCTCAAAACTAAAAATATCCTGAACCTTCCCATCTTGACCTTCAAGCCTACAAACCCACAATCATGCCCCCCAAAGAGTCAGTGTTTCACACTCTCTAAACAAGCTACAAATATACCTTGTGTTTTTATGAATTTTTTGCGCTTGTAGATTTGAGATGGTTTGAAACACGTTACAGTTAAACATAATATTGTTACAGTTGAAGTACTGATATAACTGAACTGATAGTACTTAAATTAAATCCAAGTGATGACATACAGTTGTCGTCAGAATTATTGGCACCCTTGGTAAATATGATCAAAGATGGCTGTAAAAATAAATCTGCATTATCCATCCATTTGTTCTTTCATTCAAAAAATGTGCAAAAATCTAACCTTTCATTGAAGTAAAAGAATTGAAAGTGTGTGTGTGGTCACATTATGAAATAAATGTTTTTCTCCAAAACACATTGGCCACAATTATTGGCACCCCCAGAATGTTTTATGAGTAAAATATCTCTGAAGTATATTCCCATTCATTTTTTTTTTTTCATTTTTTAGCACACCAGGGTGACTAAATACAAGAAATTGTCCAGCCATGATTTTTTGTTCCACACGAGTATAAATATAAGGAAACACAAAGGCCAAATTCCCTTAATCATCCATCACAACAGGTAAAACCAAAGAATATAGTTCTGATGTGCATCAAAAGATTGTTGAGCTTCGCAAAATAGAAAGTGTCTGCAAGAAAATGGCCAAAGCATTATAAAAAATTCCCATTTCCACCATCAGGGCAATAATTGAGAAGTTCCAATCAACTAAAGATGTTACAAATCTACCTGCAAAGAGGAAGTGTGTCTATATTGTCCTAATTCACAGTGAGGAGGGTAGTTGGAGTGGCCAAAGACTCTCCAAGGATCACAGATGGAGAATTGCAGAGATCCATTGAGTCTTGGGTTCAGAAAGCCTAAAAACTATTTATCAAACAGCACCTACATCACCACAAGTTGTTTGGGATGGTTTCAAGAAAAATCCTTCTCACTCATCCCAAAACAATCTCCAGCATATTAATTTGCCAGACACAACTGGTACTTCAATGGCACCTGGTTCTATGGTCAGATGAATCAAAACAATAAAATGTTTTGGCTGCAAACCGGGATAAAAAGTATACCCCATGCCCATATTTAATATACTGCTGTTTTTTATATATATATTGTGGGCCTTTTTTTGTTGTTGCTGGAGGTCCTGGACATCTTGTTCAGGCACATGTTATCCTATAAAATACCAACAGATAAAAAAAAAAATCAAAACCTGACTGCCTTTGCAAGAAATCAACACACAATTGTGTCACGGAGCACAAAATGAAGCTTCTGCCATGGCCGTCCCAGTTCCCTGACCTGAACACTATAAAAAATTAGTGAGGTGAACTAATGAGAAGCAGCACCAACCTGGATCTGGGAATCTGAAGGATCTGGAGAGATTCTGTCTCTGATCTCTTGTCAGGTGTTCTCCAAACTCATCAGGCATTATAGGAGAAAACTCAGAGCTGTTATCTTGGCGAAAGGAGGTTGAAAAAAAAAGTATTGAAGAAAAGGGTGCCAATAATTGTGGCCAACGTGTTTTGGAGAAAAACATATATTTCATAGGGGTTTTTCCCTCATTTTCAATTATTTTACTTCAATGAAAGGTTCGATTTTTTTTTTTTTTTTAAGGATTAACAATGCATGTATATGTTTACAGGCTTCTTTTTTCATATTTACCAAGGGGGCCAAAAATTCTGACCATAACTGTATGACCAGAGGACTGATGTTAGCAGGCTGATAATACTACTTTTCTGTAGGAAATTAACTAGAATTGTAAACATACCTTTTTAGAGTTTAACTTACCTTAAACCCTTTTACATACTTAGTATGTATCTTGTGCTAATCATAATGTGTACGGTTGTAGTTCTCTCATTATGTTGCTGGTGCTATTCGTCCCTATTTCTTTAATAGGTTGCCCCCCTCTCATATAATGAAAAAGGTAAGGGTTTTTTACTGGATAGGACAGTGTTCGTCTTGACAAACACACTGAAGCGCTACATTATAAAGTTAAAAAGAGCTAGTTCCTTACTTTAAATTATTTACAGAAATAAAAGATATGGGGCTGCTTATGAAGTCTAGAACTTTTGGCTTAAAAAAACCTGATGTATGCTAATAAAAGTTGTCAGTTGATTTTTTTTGTGAATGCATCTGGAGTGTTCAAGCCATTTAGTACTAGGGCTGCGTCCGAAATCGGATACTCTCTTGAGTAGGTACTTATTTTGAATAAGTAATTACTTCTCAACCGCTAAAAAACTATGTTCTATATAGTATGAGTCTGTGTAGTATGAATATAATCTGGACGTACAACATTCACCATGTTGTCATTATCATGTGACCTACCAGCATCAGTTGTGTCACTTCACTGTCATTTACAAATCCTCTCCCCAGGCCTCATGATATATTAGTGTCCATCGTTTGCACATTTCAGAATCTCGCCGGAAATAGTAGGTCATCCGGGAACTTTTTGCCTACTCTTCTATGAGTACTGGGAATTCGGCTACTATTTAGAAGGGAAGTATCCGATTTCAGATGCAGTCCAAGACTACGCAGTTTATACTAATGCAGTTGATGTTCTGTTACAATTGCATGTAACTACCTACTGACATCTGGTGGTCACACTAAGGAAGAGAAAACATAATTATAACTGCATAAAAACTCATTGAAGATGTGTTAAATAGATTTAATACAGAGAGATGTTCACTAAAATTTTAAATTAACATTATGGTTTATTTGTGCAGATTTTCATAATTCAACCTTTCTGTTAGGTGTTATTGTCACTTGCTGTTTTGGACCCTATGTTTTACATGTACACAAATAAAGAATATTTCAAGGTATTTATACCTTGTATTTTATTTGTAGTAACTGAATGAATAATCATCTCTCCAGTGATTTTTTTTTTCCCAAGTGACCAAAGTTATAAAATATATAAAATATGAAAACATGCTGCACATTTTTATAAAAGGAAAAATTAGTGATGCACCAATTAAATATTTGAAATTACTCCCCGGGGTGTGCTCATCTCAAACTATATTTGATAAGTAGAGTACACAAACAAAATAAAAACAGAGATTCTATTCTTATATCTGAATATCTTTATATGTATATATTTATTACATAAATGTATTGTCTTTACAAAGTAGACAAAATAAGAGTACATAAATTACATGAATAAATATTGCACACAGATATTTAGATGTCATACAAATTTAACCACCCATATGACTTGATTTGGGGTTAACTTAAATGAGCTATTAAAGGGTATTCAATTATTAGAAACTTCAACTGAAAAAGTTATGCAAAAAATTACCAGTTTTTATTTTGTATAGCCATCAATATTCACTCCATTATTAGATAGGCACCTTACAAAACTTGTCACACTGGTCTGCTTTGTATTTTTGTCTCATACTAGTGAGCCTAATTTCCCCACATGGAGTTGTATCGTTCAGAAGTATTTCCATATTATTCAATAGTAAAAAGAGGGATATTGTCCTTTAAAAATGCACTCACTGTTGATGTTGATGACAGATGACTTTCTAAAATTCTTCAATCAGGGAACAATTCTAAACTGCTGTCAGCCTCTGATCTGACACTAAGTCACACCATGCAAAAAATCTCATAAGCACCAAGAACATATTTATACTATTAGGAGGAAAACTGGTTGCACCAAATTCAATTATGTGGGCCAAAACCTAATAGTCCTTTGGTATTGTACTACTATGGCATTTTCATAATGCAAATAATCTCAATTTGCCTGCTTTTTAAGAACATTGAATTTGCTTTTTTGAATCTACACTCCTGCAAACTAAAGGTCAGCATTTTGAGTGTTTGTGTTTTGCCTTTGTGGCCCCTTTGATGCCTTTGATGTAAATCAGTATTCAAATATTTGACTAGAAAAAAAGGCACTGATATTTCCATAAGAACCCAAGGACCCTGATCTGTTAATGTTTGAAAAACTAGAAAAATGGCTGGTTGGTTTGTCACCATTGTGCATTCAAATGGTGAGTCTTTCTTATTCTATGGTGATTCATATAAACTACATGTTTGTACATGTATCTAAGATCAGTAAGAAGTTGTGCTTAGCTTTCTTTAATTTTTTGCTTTTTTTACAGTGCACTAAAACAGTGGTTATTAGAATATGAATTTTCCTATGTGGTTCAGGTTGGCAAAACAATGTGGCAAGACTAATAATAAAATTTCCTGAAATCTTTGGAAAGGGGTAAACAAACCAACAAAAAAAACAGAGTCTGTGAAGACAAGTACTCTTCAGTGAGTAAGTGCTGTGCCACGGACAAAAGCAGAGTCATATGAAACAGTAGGCTAATATTAAAGGGATAGTTCACCCAAATTTTTTTATTATTTCATCATTCACTCACCTTGTCATTTCAAACTTGTATGCATTGCTTTCTTCTGTGAAACACAAAATAATAATATGTTTTTTGTCCATACAGTACAATGAAACAAAAATGGGTCAAGTGTTGTTTTTGACCCCATGACTTTCATTGTAATGGCAAAAACTCTTTGATCATTTTTCAACATATATTATTTTGTGTTCCACAGAAGAAAGTACTGTGTGTCATATAGATTTGAATGACACGAGGGTGAGAAAATTATGACAGAAATACAATTTTTATGTGAACTATCCCTTAAAGCTCTTTAAGCTCATAAGACTTTCGTTGTCTATGACATAAGATACAGTAGAAACTAGTTCACTCCCAAATGATACTTGATAGATCCCACCAACCAATGAAGATCAAAGAGGACAATTTCAGGATTCAATAACTGATGCTTGTATTGTGCTTTAAAATAGGCTTATATAGGCTTATATGGATTTTCCACAAATAAAGGTCAGACTCTTTAAGATTAAGATTAGAAATGATTGGCAAATCACATAATATGGTAGATGAGAGAGAGTGAGTGAGTGAGTGATGTTGTTGTTACGTGACCGAATTTAAGTTGTCTCATTCATTGTTGCTGCCGTTGCTTTCAAGATCTTTACACTGGATGTTGCTTCCATTAAAATCAGTGCCAGGCATTTGAACTCCATGCTTGTCTACGCACCAGCAGATGCCTCTCTTGCGCCCCCTGGAGGGTTTACACTGTAACCGAAAATGAACAAAGCAAAGTAAGCAAAGTAATTTGACCATACCCTCAGCCAAGTGCCAAGTGTTTATAGGAAAGAAAACTTTCCGACAACTAAGCATGCCAGTAGTTGACATCTACAAACCTGCTGAAGTGCAAAACTAACCTGTTTGCGCTTGAAGAAACCTTTCTTATCACAGTTGGGTAGGTACAGTGAAAGAGCCATGACTCTGGGGCTGTCCTTCATCCTCTGGATAATTCCATCCAGCTTTCTTCGGCATGGACCCTGCAGTTAGCACACACATCATTAACAGAACAGTCTGGAAAAGGTGTCAGGCATTTATAGAAAGTTGTAAAATAACACAAAACACCATGAAAACTTTTTTTTTTTTCACTGACATCAGATGAAAGTTGAATAAAAAAAACTTTACAATGTCAGAGTGATGTTTGTCACTTCCCAAGAGCGGGTAGTCCATATTTGTCCTGAGTTTAGCCTGCTGTCTCTTCCGATCCTTTCGCATGGCCTGAGCCTTCTTGCTGTTAATGTGGTCTCGTTGGAATAATGGAACCTTAGCCTGGGGAAGCAGATCCTCTGTTACCTCTGTAACCAGGGTCTCTTCGTGTGACTCTTGATCTAGGAAGAGGACAATAGTCAAATGCAATGGCATACTGAGATTGGCATTGTTTACGTAACAAATAAACAAGGGTTGCTCGCACTGTCAAGACGCCTGTATGTCAGTCACAAAACCAAAAAGACCATCGATCTAAGGCCACATTGGATTGGTGTGCTTAATGTTGATTACAGTCAATTTTCTCATTATCTATTTACAACAAAGACTTCCTGCACTGGTCTTCCCTTACTAAAAATAAGTTAATTCAAGTGTGCTATTGGTATATCTCTTTTAAATTAAAAATAAGAAAGTATACTTTCAGTCTACTTTTTATGTACTTCTCAGAAATATACTTTATGTGCTTCCTAAAACTGCACTTAGGTATACTTGACTTATACTGAAAGAAAAGTCTAAGTATATTTGGCCTATACTTGAACTAAATCTTTTGATTGAGATATACTTAAAATTATAATTCAGTATTCTTGGCTTGTCCTTGAGTTTAATCTTTTGATTGAGTAGCCTATTAAATACTTTTTTCATAGTGCTTTACATAACGTCTAATAACTTAAATTATGAGAATATTGATTTACAAAGAAAACAGATATAGTCAATTCCGAGTATCTGAATTTTTATGTAGGCTATTCCACTGGTAGTGTACATAGAAATTTACTTCAAATTTACTTTACCCTTTCCCCACCATTGACTGAATTTTCCGGCTATCCATGTTTTCACTGTTATACGGTAGGGGACACCATTACATATTTTCCGAAATAGTAGAATCTCCGGATTCCAAAACACAGGTGAAAAAGCGGAAACAAGTGATAGAAGATGTAAAAATGTAAAATAGCACGATCATCAAACATTAAACAGCGTATAAGTTCAAAACTGCTGAAGGGTTAAAAACTGTGAAGCTTTGGAGGTGTTGATGGACTTGATCTAGGCTACTCCATCTGTGTTTTGATCATCATTCTGAATTCGATGTGCCTGGAAGTAGTCTTTGGCAAAAATGTGATTTTCTCAGCTTTTTGCTTAAAATGCTGCTAAAAAAAAAAAAAAAAAAAACTTACCCACATTCAAGTGTTGATAAAACAGGATGCATGATGCTAGACATTTTTTTTTAAATGGTACTAGAAAAAAGTACAGTTAAAGGTAGGCCTATATTTCAAGTATAAAAAATAGGAACATATTAATATACTTAAAGTGCTAAAATAATATAGTGGTGAGCAGTACGAGGCGAGGGCCGTGGGAGAACGGCGCGAGGCCGGTGGCGTGATTAATGATGAGTGACACCTGCGCGACCCGGTCTCGTATCTTTGTTTGTTATATTTGACAGCAGGGGCTGCTGTCTTTACTTTCATTTTGTATTGTTTTTTTTTAATTATTATTATTAAAGTTTGTTGAATGTTCGCCGGTTCCCGCCTCCTTCTTCCCATAACATCTAACTACGTTACAAATGTATAGTAAACTATAAGCATTATGTTATGTTCACTTAACTCACCTATAAGTTCACTTGTATAGTTGCAGCATACACACAAAATACTTATAAACTAGTTGTGTACTCAAAGTTTACTACTCTTACACTTGGTTGTTACACTGGTATAGGCCTACTTTTATACACTAAAAGTGGGGCAATTTATTCCTTAGTATTGAAACAGTACACTTCTAGTCCATTGATATGTGTATACTTATAAAGTATACTTAACATATACTTGAACTTTACTTAATAAAAATCACGAAGAATAACATTATTTTTGTAAGAGTTATCTAAATTGAGAATGTTGTGGCTTACTTTATTTGTGCAATTGGTCCATTGATTTTAACAGAGGCTTAGCAAGACTAATATTTAGCATCTGAAAGCAAGCCAGAACTCTTCAGAAGAGACAACAGATCAGCAGATATATTTTAGCTGTTGGCTTTCTCCAGGTGTCTCATAACAGTAGCTCATTGTTAAACTTTTTAGCGGAAATCACTCAAGTCTGCCAGAAAAAAAAATAGCTGTCATGCATATTTCACTGGCCATGCCTTCCAAACAATACAACCATAAACATAAATGTACCCTAGAAAAGTTATTCAAATTCCGAAAAGTGAAAGCCAGGTATTTCTGAATACACAGTCTATGAAAACCTATCATGGCTATTTTGGAAGTTACAAATCAAGCATGACAATAAAGTCCTCAACAGTTTGAACTCAACCACCAGCTCTTTCTTTTAACTGAAAGCATAGATGCCAGATGCCAACTTCAATTTGCCCATTCTAGACCTACTTCCTCTCCCTTACACGTCACTGCATTGCCCAGCTGTGAGTAATCAGATTCAAGGGCTTGACCCCTTCCTCGCCCTTCTGCGTCTTCTGTAGAGAAGCTAAGCAGCCAGGGTCACAGCAGATGAGCAAATCTCCCAAGCCATTTGTGATGACATCACTGACAAATCAGAGAAAAAGCCTCAGCAAAGCTTTGAAATCATTGAATAAATCAACATGGTGCTTCCACTTTCTTAATCTGTTGTTTTATCATCTGCCAAGCATTAGTTAACCGGATGTCTTATTTGAGGGATATTATGTTTTATTTTAGTGATGTTACGAGTGCACTTCCATGCCTCATAATCTGGGGTTATTGTTCTGGGAATGCATGCTAATCTGAGATCTGTGCAGCCCTGAGAGAGAATGTGTGCTCGTTCTTTCTATCTGCTTTCTCTTCTAAGTTTCTTCTGTTACATGTTGCCATGCATTTTATTACTAAAATCTCATTTGTACAGTACAAAGGTTGCACCAAATGAGTGCATTTACACAAACTGTTTAATATACAGAGCCAAAAGTTATGGCCACAAATTAAGGAATCAATCCTGCATTTTATTAATATGTGAGCATGTTTTGTTAATTGTTGCCTCATTTTACCTCACACTGTGACAACATCTCGTTAATTTTTACGTTTTAGCAAATTGTGGCCATGTTTTTTTTCATGCCCTTAAAACTTGCATTGTCCTTTTACTGTGTCTGATGAGAGTGTTTTTATGGGCAGAGACAATTTGCGAGATAAATGAGTTTTATTTAGAATTGGGAAACAATTCCATGTGCATGGTTTGAGTTTTCACAATGCAAAATAGAACTCAATCAAATTGTCCCTGCCAATATAACAGTGGCCATAGATGCGTCTTCTCACACAAACAAATTCTTAATTTGTTTCAACAATATATCTTTTTTAATGCCTGACACAATATAATTTCTAAATACAAATTATTAAATGAATAAAAATATGAAATTATTAATATCATTATTACTTTTGATACTAGGTCAGAGCTTAGTAGCCTTATACTGTTTTGCACCATTGCACCTTTACACAGAATTCAGAGGTGCAGAGCCTCCTTAAAACAGCCTTAACTCAGGTGTGTAAATTTTAGGGGTTGTTTTGTATTCTGAATGCTGCCTAATTCTTCCAAGTCGTTCTCTGTCAGAACTCAAGCCTTCCATTCCAGGCTAAAGTTTTAACGACTTGTAAGATGATGATTCAGAATGAAATAGCTGCAGCAGCTGTTTTCAGTAAATGTGATGAGATCGCATTATCACAGTTTTAAGGGTGCTGCAGCTGACTTAATCGCAGATTTTTGCTAAGAAAGGCAGGGGAGGCTAAAGCTTGTGAAAGGCAGTGAGATAAAGAGGATGACAGAGAGATAGATCTGCGGGTGTGTGGGTGGGGGTTGCTAGGAAAGAATTTGATTTGAATACTAATTCTGTATTCAATAAATGCAAAAACTCATCAAGATAATAGGCTATAATAAATCGTAGCCTACAAGACTGTCTGCTATAGCCTAGAAGTCCTGACCTAGATAATTCAGCATAGATAGATAGATAGATAGATAGATAGATAGATAGATAGATAGATAGATAGATAGATAGATAGATAGATAGATAGATACTTTCTTTTGTATCAGGTCGTTTATTGCATATTAGATAGATAGATAGATAGATAGATAGATAGATAGATAGATAGATAGATAGATAGATAGATAGATAGATAGATAGATAGATAGATAGATAGATAGATAGATAGATAGATACTTTCTTTTGTATCAGGTCGTTTATTGCATATAAAACAGATATTTTGTAGCCTATGTCAATAAAACTTACCCTTCGGCATATGAAGTGGTTTGTGTAGACCTAGTTTCTCGTCCATGCAAACTCCTTTGCCGTAAAGCAGAGCGTGTAACGGCTTTTCCTCTCCGCTCCGAGGCAGGCAGCGCAGTCCCTGTCCACATGTCCCCGTGTAGACTCCACACGCCTGCCCCTCGGTCAGTGCGCAGGTCAAGCAGCATCCGCAGCCGGGCTCCTTCACCACCTGACACCCCATCCGCACCGGTGGACACATGGACAGCGCCTTCTGATCGCAAGGCTCACAGGGCACGTACGAGGCAAAAAAGCCGGGTAGACACCATACAAATGTAATCAGAGTATACAAACTTAGCTGCATGGTCAGAGAACCTATTCCAGTAGCCTTGAATTAGTCGAATTATTTTGAGATATCCGAGAACGAAAGTAGCGTACGGTTAAAGGGAAGTGTATCGGTGTTTTAAAAATAGCAATTATCAATCCTCTCACCTCTTGATATTAGAATCCAATGGTTCATAGGCTATAAGACATGATATCTAATTAAGTCCTGAGATGAAATGGAATGGATTTCGGGGGAAGATAAACCTCAAAAATACGTGTAGGCTATTCACCCTTTTTTTAAAAAAAAAAAACGAAATCAATTTGTCCCGGTTCTATTAGAAGTCCTGCAGCTTAATCAAGCGAACAGTGTTCACCCTGGAGAGCTGCTGTCAGTATGAAGCTCTGCTCACGTTAACCGTGGTGGAGGGAGGCGCACTGCACTTCATTTAAAGGTATTTGTGCTTCTTGGGCGGATCCCAGAGTGATGCTGTGCTATTTAGCTCAGGTTCAGATTAAGCGAAACATAGCAACAAAACAATGTGAGAGATAATTGAAGACTACACACCAGTAAAGATGACATAAAAATATGACAAAAAATTAGGAATTGCTCTAAATGTAATTATTTTGTCTTTAAAATAGTTTAAAGTTAGGCTACCATGAAATCAAAATGGACCATTCTTTTCTTAATAATTGATTTATGTGTGCAGATCTTTTTTTGATCATGAGCCCTTGTAATCTTTAATCAAAGTAGAGTGGTGCAGGGACGCATTTTACCACTTCAGTTCCATCGTCCTTAAAGGTGCTCTAAGCGGTGTCAGGCGGTACCTTTAAAGTAACACCAGGTAACTTTTCAACCTTCATAATATATTTCCAAGTCTCTTGTGATGGTACATCGACTTACAATAGGTTGAATGACACGTCTGCCATAGCCTGAAGGGGTCTGTAGCGTTTTTAATCGTACTTTTAAACTTCGGGTTTCCGGTAGTAGCCGGCGAACAAAGAGAACTACAAAATTCGACTGCTTTACGGCATATACGTCACTTCCACCACCACCCCCACTTCCTTAAAATCGGACGTGCGAGCCAAATGTTATAGTCATGGCCGAAGCAGCACAGAAAAACAAGAAAGCAAAGGTTTTATCGGAGCAAAGCAAAAAGATAAAAAGAGAAAGTTATTGCGTACAAGGCAGAACGAGGATCAACATTGGAGGAGGGGTGCCCGACCGATGCGGACTTGGCAAAAAAAAAAAAAAAAATCAAATGAAAGCCTGTGTCTAAACGGCGTGCACAAGTTTGGTAGGGGCTACATTCTTGCAAGTAAATATATAAGATGTACAAAATCATATTTTAGGATACCTAACATGTCTGTGATATTTGTTTATTTGTCTTGCCTCAAGCTATAATGCAAATTGATTTGTAAAATTTGCAGATTCATTTATGGTAGCTTGATATTATAATGTTGACGATATATGGTTATTATCTACCACTCAAACATTGCATTGAAGTATCATATAGATCCAGTAAAACGGTAACCAATAGACTAGGCTACTATAATGACGCTGGCTTGTAAACGTGATCATCGCGATCATTTGTCGTTAGAAAAAAATAAAACCCATGAAATTATATTCATATGACATGCTGAAATATTTGCCACTGTACCTGGGATGAAGACATTTCAGACAAGATGCAAGCAGAACACCTGCATGTGACCTCCTCCTACAGTGTTCAGGGCTATCGTGGTTGTCAACAATTGCACGTGCATGTAGAGTTTACGACAGTAGTAGAGGTCTAGAGGACAATACTGTTTCCCAACTGTAGGGGGACCCTAACCTGGCCCTAGCCAGATGAATTTCGCTCCGCCTAGCTTCACTCACATCCATCTGGAACCGATCCATTGAAATGGCGTTTCAGAAGGCTGGGCCTTATCAAAAATCCTTGCATATGATTGGATAAGCCACTTGTCTGTCATCTTTATCGACGTGCTATTTCAACCACTCACACCGAAGCCAACCCGTGACGCTGAAGAATCCGGTCGGGAGAAGGCACTGATCTATATAACATCGTTTCCACCAACAAAAGCCTTAAGAGCCGTTCTCTGATGTTCTTTTAATGAAACAATATTAGGTAGATTGGACAACACGGATGAAATCAATGTTAACAGCATCAATGTTAACGCTTGTTTCCTCGATGCGAGCCGCCATTGTTGTCTGAATCAAAACAGTCTCACGGTCGCTTCTCCACTACGTCACATCTATGAAACTCCCGCCCTGCGTCCTGATTGGCTAAACCATAAAGTTGGTTGGAGAAATCACTCTCAATGGAAGAGGTTCCAGATGGATGTGAGTGAAGCTAGGCGGAGCGAAGGGCCAGGTTAGGGGGACCCCACCCCGAGAGCAAAAGTAACCTGGTGTTACTTTAAGTCAGTGGGTTTTTTGAATGGGTTTTTGCTTGAAATAAGGCCTGGTGAACACAAGCTTAAGATATTTTCACGTTTTATTCTACGACATAAAATACACCAGTAATATACTAATATCTTATTGTGATTTATTTAAAGCTTTTACTTGTCTTGTAAAACATGGTTTCTAACAAATGGGACAGAGGTTGTCGAGGACAAAACCATTCTTAGCCGAATGGGTAAACTCATCTGCTTTCACAGCCTCGTTGTGTTTATAACCGTGCTCTTGCAAACTATTATAACTCGAACTTTCAGGGAAAATGTTTTTAAAAAGAATGAATGATTTGTCGGAAGTTTAGAGATGGAGACAATGAAGTCATGAGAGTAGCCTATGGAGTGTAGTTCATTTATAGCTTACATTTAGCTTTTGACTTCTGAGATTGAATTCATAAAAGTTGTGTTCATTTGTAAATATCATGATGAAAAAAAAAAAACGTTTAGGCTAAGAATCATAAGCTTTTGTTAGTCACAGACTTTATTTTCAGCAATAATCCAAAAAGCCAACGGAAAAGTCTTTTTTTTCTAGGGTGATGCTAACTTCTGGATTGGCCTACAAAAATAAGTCTAAGAAACAGCACTCTATAACTTTCTTTCCCAATTTCAGCAACATATGTCTTTTCTCTGATGATGTTTCTCATTGCGAGGGCTTGACAACCTGTCACTCACAAGAGATTGCAGCAATAGCAAATGACAATAATCCAAAAATCCAATCAAGTCCTGATGGACAAATTCAACTCCCGCCCTACATTTTCTCTTATTCGCGAAGCCATTTCATTTGGATTTACTTCACATTTAGAGAAGAAAAGACTACTGCAACTTCCATTTCATATCGACTTTAAGGTCTTGATGTCGCTCACGAACCTGACATTTTCAGGTCTGTGTACGTTTTGAGGTTTTGTTTTTCAATTTAAAAAGAATTAATGAGAAACAAAGGAGTTATATTTGAATTAGAAAAATATACTTCAAATCGTTTTATGTTCACAAAAATTATTTGTAGGCTACAGTATGAATATTTGATTAGGTTGACACCCTTTCCTTCTAAATGTAGTCTCTGTTCTTTCTGTAACAGATTAACATTGATAAAGAAACAGACTGTATTAAAATTAAAACCAACAATGATAGACTGTAACAGAGGGCTATACAAATGAAGGAATAGCCTATGATTAACTAATCTAGACACAGGTGAACATTATGGAAGTAAAATAATGACATTGTTGAATTGCACTAGGCTACTTGAAAAGATATGCATTGAATTAACCCTGGAATTGAATTAACTTATTGAGGGAATCCCCAGTTCTGCAGCACATCACCGCAATATAAAGTTAAGAAAAATGGAAGCTTTAGCGTTAAGTTCTGCCAGGAAGACTCAATTGCTACGTCACTTATTACCTTCTCATCTATCCAATCGTGTCTAATACTTGCGGTATAAAAGACCAGTACTTACACATGTCTGAGTTCGCAGATGCTGACGCTTTCATTCACCTCCATCCTCCCCACCACCACCAGGATGGTCCCTTCCCCTCCATCCTCCCCACCACCACCAGGATGGTCCCTTCCTATACCTCACACGGGGTCGGCTGCGCCCCTGCCTTCGTCTTCAGGCAGGAAATGCAGAGTCCGGACCCTCGGATTGCGAGCTATGGACGGGGCCTACGCCAAAGAACTTTATTGCTTGCTGGGCTATCAATAAATGTACTTATTGTTACAGTATTTATTCTCCCGAGTCTTTCTGGTAGAACTAAACAACCTAGAAAAATATATGTCTACTACCTCAAATTTTACGTTTTATCTGTACATCAGCATTGGGGAATAACATCATAATCTCGTTCACGGTAGAGAAAGCTGCTTACATGTGCAAAACTAAATGTGAAGACTTAAATGTTAACACAGCTTTTGTGTCTTTATCACCTTTTCCATAATACTGGCCCTGATAATCATCACAAATACTTACCGCTTGCTCCATTTCTGTAAATCCGTTTTTATGAACGAATGACTCTCTCACCCGTTGCTCTATAGTTTTCTTCGTCAACAGCCGCTTGCACCCCCTGCTGGTGAGGTCGACTAACAGCTATGGATATTATCAATCTGCAATCTACTGAAATTCCTGCTGTTCCAGGAAGTCAAATGTTGAATTATCTGTCGAATTTGAACACTGAATTTGTGGAAGCGAAATAAAATGGACAGAAAATTGCCTGTCGAATATTATAGGTTGTATTTTTAAACAGAATTAATATTTTGAATATGAATATGGATTATTGAATTTTTATTAATGAAAACGTGTGTGAAATGTTTTGAATTGAAATATTCACAGCTTAAATATACAACCATGTTGAATTTCAGGCCATAAAAATGCAAGCCATAAAAATACAATGCATTAAAATGCAAGCAGGGTTAATGCAATGCATATTTGTTCAAGTAGTGCAATTCAACAAGCTTTTGTTTTTAAAAACATTTGTCATTATTTTACTTCCATAAAACATAGTCAGCAGCTAAGGAAATGTCTCAGGTTGTGAATGCAACCCAGTTCCCTGAGAATGGGAACGAGATGGTGCGTCTTGGTGTTGATACTATATGGGGAAGGCCTTAAGTGTTTCCGACTTTAGACGAGGATGTCCAAGTTTAGACAGATCCATCCTGGCACCAGACAGGTCTTAGCCTGAAAGCCCAGAAGCAAGGCTATAAGGGAAATGCACAAAATAACCTAAGCCATGTTATGCTAAGCCTGAGAGGCTCATAGGGAGCAGTCTACCAAAGGGAGCATGTTAGCTGTCAGTACCTCCAAACTCAGGTTACTGAGAAATGCGACAGGCAAAGATTGGACAGCAA